TTGGGGCCGGGGATATAGCTCAGCAGCATAAGTGCTTACCTGGTATGTGCAAGGTCCTGAGTTCAATCCCTGGTACCACTAAATGAATTAATTAATTAATTAAAATAAATTATAAATTGGAAATGTTCAAAGTGATGAAGAACAGACAACAAAAGCTAAACTCTGATGAAAATAAACTTTCTTTTGAAATCAAGCAGGAGGGCACAGTCTTATCTTTGCAGTCTATATTTGGTAGCTACATACTATTAGGGCTAAAAAGTTCATTAACAATAACCTCATATTCTAAGAAGCTGAATGACTACATTTCACTTCCTCTTTAGACCAGGAATCAGTATGGCCCGGTGCTTATTATTATGATGACCTAAATATCCAAAATATGACTGGAATTTAGCTAATTCCTGAGCAATACAATAGGATGCAGAGCACTATATATATGTTTCATGTCTATGCTTCCTCATTCAGTCAACACTATTTCTATTCAGTCAGACATGCTTTTGGTCAAAACATCATTTAGATCAATAAACACTTACAAATGCATTGTATGGTCAACTCACCGAGTCCTGGGATTGAAGTGGTACACCACTACATTATCTCAAGATAACTTGAGATACTTTTTAAGGCCACTTAAATCAGGGTAAGCAGAAATGCAAAACAATGACAGCAATGTTTTCCTCCTATAGTCATAATCATCTTTCTTTCCATGGCAATACTACCTCGTGTATATCTTACTTTACAGTATTTTATCCAAGCTTTTTGAGTTTATATATGTACGTTCCTCAATATTTTTAGGTTTATTTTCAAACAGGAGGCTGCTTTCACTGTCTCCTTTCACAAAGAAAGAACCCAGGGGACAGAATACCTGTGCTGTTCATCTTATTGGTCAACTTGATAGAATTGACGAAGGCTTAGAAATGAAGTACAGGAAATTTCTGGGTGTGTCTGAGGGCATTTCCAGAGATGACTGGGTCTTTGGGACAGCGCACTGAGGGGTGGGAGGACCTACTCTGAAGGTGGGCAGCACTGGATAGCAGAGTAGAGGCTGACAAAGAAAAGCAGAGAAGCGGAAGCCCACTAGCCCAGGCTTTCACTCTTTCTTGCTTCCCGGCTGCCATGAGGCAAGCAGCTTTCCTCCACCAGGCCCTTCTGCCATGCTTTTGCTGTCACAGGCCTGAATGCAATGGAGCCTGAGGACCATGGACCGAAACTGAGACAGCAGATTAGGGTAGGGGAAGCTGGCTGGGGCAGCAAGTGTGGCCTGTTGATTTTAAAATCCCAGGATGTGTGCACACAACAATTCCCAAAGTTTTGCATGTGGTCTTCTCACAAGAATTCAAACAGGTTTTCCACAAGATGGTCAAGATCTGCCATCAGCCTGAGGGCTGGGTGATACAAAATGATAGTCACTATTGAGTTGCTGCCACTGTGTTTTCTCTTGTATGTATAGCCAACCACATGCGATAGTGTCTATTTCTTTTCTTTTACTTACTTGGCCCAAACTCATTCTGAAAAGCTTACTTCTTTTCCTACCTTTAAGAAAACCTTGCTGCCTTTTTTACTTCTCTTGGCCAAATCTTTGTTCAGAACAGAAAGAACCTTGAAACCACCTTCAGCAGGCGACTCCAGCACCCCCAAATCCGGTCACAAAACCTTTGGAACTATGAGCCAAAAAATATTTTCCTCTTTTAAACTATTGTTCTCGAAAGGTCGTCAAAAAGATGGAAAACTAAGAGATAATTAACATAGCTATACATAAAATTTCGGGGGCCTTTTACTGACTCAAGGGTTGCCCTCCTGGTCTTCCTTCCTTCAGACTTAAGCTTTTTACCTTTACTCTGAAGGATGAAGCCATCTTTGGGTTCTTGGAACAAACAGTTTACATTTTTGGAGGTCTAAGTAGGCCACCTCATTGCGAGATAACATAGAGAAATAAAATAGGGAAAAGGAGACAAGGAAAATCGCGGTTAAAACTGTTCTTTTAAGAAGACTATACCTTCAAAGTCACCCAAAGTGATCCATATCTGTATTCCAAAGGTTTTTTTTTTTTTTTCTTCCAAGCCCATCACCTAAATCTCTTAAAGATGTTAAAGTACTAGGCCATAAATTAGCTTAGTTGCTAAAGTATAGAGCAGAAATTTGACCTTAGGGTAGAAAAACAGATCCAAAGTGTACAAAGAATGTTTCTTAGGGAAAGTAGATCTTTACAAACAAATTGGGCCCACGGCTTTCACATGTCAATTGAGCCTGAGCTATCCATGGATTCACAAAGCCAGACTTCCACCTGTCAAAATAGAATCACTGCCAGCTCGATGTGCCATTTATTTATTTATTTATTTAATTTTATTTTTTGAGGTAGGGTGGTGCTACATAGTTCAGGCTGGCTTTGAACTCAATATGTAGTCTAAACTGGCCTCAAACTCCAGATGATCCTCCTGCCTCAGCCTCCCATGTGTTGGCACTACAGGTGTACACCACTACACCTAGCTAATGTGCCTTTTGAGGACCTTGCCCTCTAGCCATCTATTTTCATTTATTAATTCTGCTTAGCAAAACCTTTCCATGTCTGCCACTGAGGCATTCTGAAATTCTCTTCTGTGCTTAAGAACATGACTTGAGGTCACCACTCCATGCACTGTCCAGCAAAAAGTCAAGCATCACAAACTATTTGGTAAACACCATTATTATTTCCATCTTACAGAGAGGCAACTGAGGTCAGGGCTGTGACTAGGGCAAGGAGCAGTGTGTCTGGGGCTCTGGCTTGCCACATCGTAGTCATGACCGTAACAGGAACACAGGAAATTTAAGAAACTTATTCATTATACGATACTGTCTATTTCTAGCAGGGCAAAGATAGGGACAGGTAGCCCAGATTTTCACATCCTGGAACATACTCAAGTCTATGACAAAAAGTACTGGAACTTGAAAACAACAGGCAGAATTCTAGAAGGAGCTTTGTGTATTTGTATCAGTTTTATTACCTATTCAATGTTAAAACAATATATTAAAGAAATGAGATCAGATAATACAGGTATCCCTTGAGATCCATGCGTGATTGATATCAGATTCCATATAGACTCCAAAATCCACAGATGCTGAAGTCTTTTATAAAAATGTGGTGGGGGTCTCACCTGCCGAATGGCCACCAGCGTGTTCTCAGTGGTATAAGTACACACTTATAATCTCAGTACTGTGGGAGGCTGAGGCCAGAGCATGGCAATTCAAGCCCAGCCTGGGCAACCCAGTGGGACACTGCCTCAAAAAATAAAAAGGTTTTATCTGTTTTCTCATTAAAATGAAAAGATAAATAAAATAAAATAAAATAAAATAAAATAAAAAGGGCTGGCAATGTAGCTCAGAAGAAAGGTCCTGGATTCAATTTCCAATAAACAACAACAACAACAAAGTATAGTTCTTGCACATACTGTATACTAGGAACATCCTTTGGTATGCTTTTTCTATTTTCCTTCTTTCTTGTCATATCTATTTCTATTTCTTTTTCTTTTTATTTATGTGTGTGTGTGTGTGTGTGTGTGGCCAGCTCAGCCCACCAGGGGGCGGGGCTGGCTGGCATGTGTGCTGGGGGATTGAACCGCAGTCCCTGTGTTTGCTAAGCTTCTTCCAAGTAGGTGCTTTAGACCACTGAGCCATCTCACCAGCCCCTATTTATTTTTCTTTTGTGGTGCTTAGAACTGAATATAGGGCCTTCAAAATGTTACATTTCCAGTCCATTTTTACTTTGAGACAGAGACTCACTAAATAATTAAGTTGCCAAGGCTGGGCTTGAACTTGGAATCTTCCTGCCTCAGCTCTGAATGCTATCATTATAGATCACGTACCACCATACCTAGCTCTAGGGGCCAGGGAGATGGCTCAGTGGAATAAGTGCTTTCCTGGCAAGTTCAATCCCTGGTTCTGAAAAAAAAAAAAAAAAAAAAAAAAAAAACCTTCACCATTCCTAGCTCCATGTACTTTATAATACTTAATACAATGTAAGTGATTCATCATTAGTTGTTATACTATAATGCTCACTACAGATAAGTAATTTGCTTTTGGATATTTTAGGTCCTTGGGTAGTTGAATCCATGAATGTTAAAACCACAGCTAGTAGAGCCAAAATGCTTAATTCACTTAAAAGTTTTTCTTTATAATGAAGTCTGGACCCAGCCAAGAGCTGGAAGATCTCAGGAATATCTTGTGGTGTTGCTACATAGTTCAGGCTGGCTTTGAACTCAATATGTAGTCTAAACTGGCCTCAAATTATCAGGAGTCCAGCTGCTAGGGACATGTGAATGTATGTATAGGTGCAAGCGTGTGCTTGCCTAGGAAGAAAGCAGATGGAGAGGTAGACCAAGTAATTTAGAAAACAAGTAAATACGTTTTCAGAGGTGGGTGATCCATAAAGAATAAATTCATTTACTGACCAAGGCCCTAGTAGACACAGCCCATGTCGTAGTTCATTGACACATGGGATTTTGTTCTATTCCTTCGAGTCAGGCCACTCTTGGTTAACGCTCCAACTCCTGTCTGACCTCCGGACCTTTCCACTTGACGCCTCTTCTTCCTGAACACCTTCCCAGCAGATCTCACGGCTGGCTCCTTTTCGTAATTCTGGTTTCAGTACCAATATCACTTCAGAGAGAATTTGTCCGACCACAGTACTCTAAGCCTTCCCTCTCAATACTTCATCTTTTTACAATTTAACTCCTTTCACTGTCTTGCACACTTAAGAACTGGCTCCCAACTCCGATGTAACCCCCGGGAAAAGGAGGGACCCTGTGTCTCGTTTATGGCTGCACCCTTGCGTCCGTAGCAACTATCTGTACAGTTGCTGTATTCTGTAAATCTTGAAGTCGGCAGATTCCTAGAAATCGGACGGAACCGAGGGGCTGCGGGGTGAGCTCCTTGGGGACGACTAGGGAGCAGGGAAGGCTGTCAAGGCAAGCAAGCCCCGGCCGAGGAAGGGCAAGCGGAAGTCGAGGGGCGCGAGGCGTGGGGGGTCTCACCTGCCGAATGGCCGCCAGCGTGTTCTCGGGCGCGTCGTGGCTGCCACCGCGATGGGCGATGGCCGAAACGCGGTCCCGGGGCTTGAGCACCTGCAGGACCCTGCGGGAGGGCACCGGCTCAAAGCTGAAGAAGCGCAGCAGCACGTAGAGGCTACCGGTGAGGAGGCAGGCATTGAAGGGGCTGCGCGTCACCACCAGGAAGAGCACCAACAGAAAGGAGAAGGGGCCCAGGAGGCCCCCCTGCTCCTCCCACAGCCACATGCCGGCGCCCGCACCGACACGGACAGGAGTCCCGGACCCGCCGGGTAGGGGTGAGAGGCCGCGGAATCCGCCGCAGCCGGAACCCTCCGAGCGGACTAGCGCCGCACAATGGCGGCGGCGGATACATCCCGAGACGAAGCCGGCCCACAGCCAATCAGGAGCCGGGATGTCCAGCGCTGGGGGCGGAGCCGCTTCCCGGCGACCGGGCGGGACTGGGCTCCAGGGCTCGAGTTCCAAAGTGCCGTGGGGTTATCTTGGGATCGCGTTGTCAACCCTCAGGTTCAGACTCCTCAGCCCAGTAGGGGAGGGAGGAGGTCGGTGGAGATCTAGAGGACTTCTGGGTTTGCCCTCAAGCGACTGAGCTGGGAACCCTATCCTATTTGGGCGTTTTCAGTGCAGCATGTGCCAAGCAGCACCAGTCCGCCTGCTGTGAAGTGGACTGACAGGCTCCCACCTCCGAAGAGTTTTACGTTGTGGAAGGGCGGAGTAATAGCGTTAGCAGTACAGCCAGTTTGTTTCTATTTTATTTGTTTAATACAGCTAACGTTTACAGAACACCTATCTTGTCCCAGGTACAGTGTTAGTAAACACTGTATGCATAGTATGCATTTTGTCTTACTTGGTGGGAGACCACTACAAGGATGAGACCTAGTTTGCTAACTCTTTGGAGATGAGTGGGAGACCACTGTTAGGTCTTAGCCTACTAAAGCATTAAAACCACTATTTGTGTTTGCTTCTGGGATCATCAGGAACTTAGAAGCCCTTTCTGCTATAAAAATAAAAGGAAAATAGAAAAGTGACTTTCCGCTTGGGCCCACAAATGCACAATGGAAAACTTTGCTCTCAGGAGCAGAGCAAAGCCCGCAGTGGTAAAATATACCTGCATTCCCAGCACTTAGGAGGCTAAGGCAGGGGGATTGGTGTGAGCTACAGGTTAGCCTGGGCAATCCAGTGAATTTAAGGCTAGCCTGGAATATATAACAAGACCCTGTCATAAATAAATAAATAAATAAATAGCAGTACAAAGCTTGACTTTCATTTTGTTTGTTACTGTAAAAATTTAGGTCAAATCACATCTCAGCTCTGATACGGATATATTAATCATTTAGGAATTGTTAGTCTAAAAGTAGGTAAAACATGCTTGATTAGCCCTAAATTTACATGATCTTGGCCCCTTTCCAGAATAAGAATGTGAAGATAGGGATTTACAGGGACATTTCTGCTGCCTCAGATCTCCCGCCATTGTTCTAAACCTATGATGGCCAGGATTCCAGGAGAGGCTGAGCACCACAAAAATGAAACCTCCACAAATTGAGACAAGCCTTTCAGACATGAGGATTCCAGAGCTATTATTATAGACAGCTAAGTTAGGTAGAAATTAATATACAGTTAGAGAGGGATTTGGGCCTTCAAAGAAGACAGCACAAAAAATAAAGATGGAATTGTGACTGAAGGTGAATCTGAAAACAGTCAGGCCTCAGGGTAGAAAAGCAATAGGCAGGCTTGTGGGTCTTCCTGGAGAGAAACTGTGGAAGCCAGCCTGCAAACTGACCGAGGAAGTACAGGAGGAAAAAAAGAGGAGACAAATTTGTAACCTAGGGGGACTACAGGCTAGAAGTGTACAAGGTTCCATTTTTATTAGAAAAACAAGATAATGTGGCAACCAAACAATCTAGGGTTCAAGAAAATGCAACTGCTTTACAAAGAACATAACAGCTTTATACCCTGATATGTAATTTTCTTTGGCCCTTTGCTGAGTGTTGTCCTGCCCTAGGGTATTGTGAGGAGCAATATTTGTGCACACAAACAAGGAAGGGAGCAGCCTTCCATGCCCTCTCCCCTCCCTGGGGAGAGTCAACAATACCTAGGTCCCAGCGGCTGATCAGGTAGCCTGGACTCCAGCAATAAATAGCAACCTGAGATTATACTGTAATTAGCACCACCTGGTCCAGTGAAGCCAGATAGCCAATCAGACACATAGGCAGGTGATCAGAACCCTAGACCCTACTCTCCCTTTCCAAGAATTCCCTTCATCTTTCCATATACCTTTGCTATGTGACTCATTTCTCTGTTCAATCAATATTAAGTAAATTGCTAAACTTGTAATCTTACAGGTTGATTGTAGTCATGTTGTAGGCAGCTAAATTAGATTTAAAAAATTATAGGCAGGCAGACAGGGCCAGGCCCTCAAGGACAATATGGAAGACAAGGTGACTTTGCAACTTTGGAAGAGACAGACACTTCTGCTTTGGGACAAACTTCAAGACAAAAGAGTAGGGTCGGAGAAATAGCTCAGTAGAATAAGTGCCTGCCTGGCAAGCACAGGGTCCTGAGTTCAATCCCCAGTACCACCAAAAAAAAAAAGTGACAAAAGAGTAAACAAATACAGCTGCATACTTTCCTAAGGATGAATATGCTAAATAGGTATCAATCACCTTGAAAGAGCCACTAAGCCAACCCCAACAGGAAGAGACCTTGTTTTATATTCTTGTCTCCTTGCTACGTGACTTGCTTCCCCATTTGATCCTGATTTTAATCAGTTTTACCTGAGCAATGGTGCTTGTAATCTTATTGGTTGACCATAGTTTTGTCCCACCTCATGCCCACCTAAGCGAGTTCTCATGTTCTCCACCACCTTAGACGTGCTTCACCATACAGTTTTACTCTATAAAAGTCCCTGGAAGAGACAGCTTCCCAGGGACAAGCCACTTGGGGTCCCCCCTTCTGTCCCTCTCTAGGACAGGAGCTTTCTTTCCCCCATAAATATATTCTGCTCCTAACCTCCATTTGTTCCTAAAATTCATTTTTTAATTTTAGAGAACATGAACTTGTCCCAGGTAACTTTCAGGTTGGGAGTTTCATTTTTTCCACCTATATCAGTCTGATCCATATTGTACTCCCAACTGTGATTTTGCTGTACAAGTTATCCCCGACAAAGAGAAGAGCCTGTTTGCTGTACAAATTATCCCTGATGAAGAGTCCATGTGAACACACATCCCTCTCCTGCTTCTCAGGAGCTTTCTCCTATTAAAGCGTTCCTATTCTTAACTTGTTTTGTCCCTTGGTATAAACAATTTTTTAATCTATTTATTTATTTATTTATGGTGGTTCCAGGGATCCAACTCAGGACCTTGCATTTGCCAGGCAAGCACTTATTCCTCTGAGCTATCTCTCCAACTCCTTTGTCCCTTAGAATTCATTCTTTACTATTTCGGGGACGTATAAATTAGGAACGTCTGACATCTAGCAGATTGGGAGTTATGTTTTTTTTATATCAATAGTAACTGGAATGATATTGCAATAGCCTCAAAAGAATAATTTCAGAAGAATTTTCTAGAGTAGGAGGGAATGAAAAAACGTAGGAAAGGTACACAATTGGGCTATGGACCTGGCAGGATTTTAGTGATTTCTTCATTTTATAAATAAGGAAACTGAGAGATGAAGTGAACTGAAACAAGGTCATTTGTAATCATGGCTTGTGACCTTTCACTGTTCCTCATCTTACTAATCTTTTCCTTCTACTAAAGTCATAAGCACAGACACTGTGCAAAAGTTACTGCAATCATATCTTATGATAGGCCTTTTTTTTTTTTTTTTTTTTAGATAGGGTCTTACTATATAGTTCAGGCTGCAGGTGAACTAACTACATAGCCCAGGGCAGCCTTGAACTTGTGAACAATCCTCCTGCCTCACTCTCCAGAGTTTTGGAGGTTACAGGTGTGCACTGCCAAGCCTGGCTTGATAGTCACTTTTAAGATTTTGTTTTGTTTTTGACAAGGCTTCACTGTGTAGTACAGGTCAGGCTTACTTGAGCTTGTTATGTAGCTCAGGCTAGCCTGTAGTTTAGAAACCTTTGCCTCAACCTCCCTGGTATAACGGATGTGACAGTCTCTTTTTAAGAGTCCTGTTTTACATATGCAAAAATAGGCATGGGAAGGAGAATCAGTGAGAGAGGTTAAAGTTGAGTTAGGAAATAGAAATGACAAGTCATATTTTTCAAAGCTGATGATATGGAGGTTAGGTAGAGAAATTGGTATAAGGTTCAGGGATGTTATTTCTGCCTCTTGGATCTGTTGCTTTTTCCCCGAATACACATTTTCCCACTGATTTCCAAAAGGACACAGATGTCTCAAGACTTTGGATTTGGCAATTTTTAAAAAAAGTTTTTTTTAATTTTAGGGAAGGGTCTATAGGAGATTCAGGGTTTCACTACCAGATCGGACTCGTAGTGATCCGCCTGTTTACAGCCTCCCAAGAGCTGGGATTACAGGCTCGCACCACCACGCCCAGACTCTATCACCGTCTCAGCGCGGCCCGGGGGATCGAACCCTCCGGCCCTAAACCTGCTTGCAGGCACTTTAATCCGCTGAGCTGTTTGGCCAACTTAGGTGGCAACTTTTTTTTTTTAACCCACAAGTTTTGATCGATGTTGTATTTTCCAACGACCACATGTTATCTCTATACAGGTAAGTTAAAAAGTGGCAACTTCACGGAAAACTTCAAACTCTAGAAGCGTTTATATTGTATATCAAATTATACTTTTCCAGGCGCCGGCTTGCAGTGAAGTTTATAAATCGCTTGCCGGAAGCGCAGGTCTCCTACCACAGGCGCGCGAGGCACGCTGGGATTTGTAGTTTCTGGAGGCGCAACATTTCAACAGCCCGCGAAGCCACCACAGGAAGTACGGATGCTGGGGGTGGAGTCCAAGTGGCGGCGGCGGCTGCGGTTGCCAGGAGCCCGCGCTGCCGCCGGAGAGACCCGTAATATGGCGGGGAGAAGGAGGAGAAGGAGGCGGCGGACCGAGCTGCAATCTAGCAGAACCGTTTGAGCTGTTTCCTTTCTGACCAGGTCCGTGGCAAGGGAGGAAAGCTCACGGGGTCCTGAGCGGCCAGGTGAGGGCTTGGGCAGCGGGCCCCTTCCCCAGTTGTATCTGCGCTGAGAGGCGACCTGCTGGGCGGAGTTGGCGCCCTGTGGCGTTGAGGATGGGCTCCGGGCTGGGTTCCCGGGCCTCGAGCCCCTAGCAGGCACCAGGGTTGGGGAAGAGGGGTTGGGGGGCAGCCGACGCGGATGTGGTGCTCGGATGCCGGCGTCGCTGGGGTGGGTCCTGGAAGGACGCGAAGGCGGGCGTGGGTCGTGGGGGCTGAGGCAGAAGCGGCGAGGGGAATCAACGGCAGTCCCAGCGGAGTCCCTCCTGTGATGACTGTGCGGGCCGCTTTCTTCTCCCCGCACAGTGCGAGAGAGGCAGGCGTCCCCAGGGTGTGCACTGGCCATTTCTAAACGCCGGTTACCACAACCAAAGGCCCCGGGAGCTCTGTTTACTTGGCCTTTGCTACTCTGGGGCATAAGCAAGGGGATAATAAAGCAGATTCTCTTGATGGCCCCTGATGATGCTAAGTGGGTCCTGCCCTTTTGTTTCTCTCCTTTGGTTAGAATTCTAGTCCCTTATCCGCAGTTCAGGCAAATGGTAGCCTAGCAGTTGATTTGATGGGGTCTGGACACAGTGAAAGGACGCTGCCCCCCAGTGTTTTCAAGTTTGCCTTGAATCTTACTAGCAGCCAAGCCCTGTCATTGTGCCCCGCGAGCTGAGTTATAGGTTAGTGATAAAAATCATCATCGCCATTGGCCACTTCACAAGAAAAGCAGCTCCCATTTATTGATGCTTTTCTGCTTATCCGGCAGAATGCTAGTTGCTGTAAATGCATTAGCTCATTCAGTTCTCACACAGTCCCTTTGAGACAGACACCCTGAAGGTCCCTGTTTTACGGATAGGAAAGCAGGTGCAGTGATGCCAAGTGGCTTGATCTGAATGTGTCTGAATAGGGATCTTCCCCTGTACTTTCTCTGCAAGAAGCTTATGTGTGTCGGGGAAATCTTGTGCTTACCATTCCCTTCAGTGACATGTCTGCTGGGAAGGAGCATATAGGGGCACAAGTTTAGGATTTGCAGAGAAGTTTGGCCAAGGGTCAGTACTTTGGAGTAAATGGAGAAGACAAGGCATGACTGGACCTGCTGCAGCTGACATTATTAATGGAAGGGGACCAGTAATGCTTGATGATAGAGTATTGGGTAGAAGATTTGTGGTTAGGATGCCCTTGTAAGTGAAGGCTCTCAAAATAAAACCTTGCTGACAGTGATAATTGTGGTGTGAGAAACATATTCCTCTGTTGCTTAATCATGGGCTGTAGACTGCTCACTTTTTAAATGGCTACCTTTGCAGTTTAGAGGGACCAGTTTGTTTGGGTAGGATCATCCATGAACTACTATACCATCCTGTAAATTCCATTCTTTCTCTTTAGTTTCTTTGCTGCATAGTTTACTCTTTCCCTTTTTCCCCCCTAGGTTTCATGATATCTTAAGATAATATTGTAAGACAATAATAGTTCTAATGCATCTATTCAATACTTTTATGAAGTATTCTAATATTGTAAGACAATAATAGTTCTAATGCATCTATTCAATACTTTTACACTGCCTACTGTGTACTAACTCTGTTCTGTGTTGTGGGGATTCAGTGAACAGGACTGGGAAGGTACCCTTTCTTATGGAGCTTACCTTTTGGAGGAGGAAGACAGAAATAAACCAAGGAAATAAACAAGATAATTTCAGATAGTGGTAAGTGTTATGAAAAGTAGGAAACAGCCCAGTAATGTGATAGTGACTGAGGCAGGGTTAACTAGGATAGGATAATCAGGGACATCCTCTTTGAGGAGGAGACAGCCAAACTGAGCCTGAAGGAAAAGAAGTCATGCTCCATTTGACATTTTTTATAATCTCCATATTAGCACTTATATTTGAATATTTAATGCGTTGTCATATGTTGTAGGTTATTCTGTAGTAATTATATCTGCAATATGTAGGACATAAATGTATTATTTAAGGATATGAATAACTCATTGAAGCAGTAAGGCATATTTCTATGATGTTGTTAAAACTGTTCCTATATAGGTAGTCCATTTTAAAAAATTTTTCAGACTTTTAAAATTGAATTTCATGCTTTGCCTACATAGCCTTAGAAAATATATTACATTATTTATACAAGTAATATAATCATGTCCTTTGTATTACTGAGTGTAAGTGGTATTTAAAAGTACTTTGAAGTATTTTAGCAGAAATGGATTTATTTCATACCTTAGCTACTGCATATTTTCGTTATTGTAATACAGGTTGAAACCTAGACTAAAAATGGTTATGTGATAAACTGTTTTGCTGTTTTTTTGTTTGTTTTTCTTGTGCACTTGTTTTTGTAGTGCTAGGGATTAAACCTAGGGCCCATGCATGTTGGGCAAGCACTGTATCACTGACTTTTTCTTCAAATAATAAATATGAACTTGCAAAATCATGGCTTTCACACTCTAAAGAACCATGTCTTTGAAATTAAACTCTCACTTTGCATAAATTGAATAGTATAGAAATTACAATTGATGGAAAATTGGGATGTTTTGTTACTGATAAAACTCTGTCAGAATTAGCAATATATTTTTAATCTATTCATAATTTTGAATTTCCTTTGTTCTCGTTTTTAGTTGTACTATAATTTCTTCTGACATTTCAGTACACTAAATTTTTAAGTATTCTGAGGCTGAGTGCAGTATCATATCCTGTCTTCATGTTTGCATATCCCACGGCGTGAATTCAATTTCCCTTCTCCCTCTTTTTTGTTGAGTAATTAATTGTTCTAAAAGGAGCACTTATTAAATTTTCTGTTTCCACACTTTACCAGTTCCCTGCTGGTTATGATTTTAGTAGTGTCTATTGTTATTTTCCCTTGCCTATATAAAAGAAACTTCACCATATATATTGCTATGCAAACAGACAATCAATAAATATAGGAGCCCGGGATAAAGCAGCAGTATAAGTGCCTGCCTGGCAAGTGAAAGGTCCTGAGTTTAATCCCTGATACCACCAAATAAATAAATAAAGCCGTTCCTAAGGAATGATAATAGTAGCTGATTCTTTTGATTACCTGGGATTTTCATAACCACCATCACAGTTTCCTAGAAACTAAAATTACTGCACTGTTGTTTTGAGTAGCTTGATGATGGTTCCAGTATTCAGTAGTAAAGAATTAATCCAAGGGCCAATTTTCTGTTTTTTACTTCTGACTGCATTGGCTGGTGTCCCTGGAGTCTGTCTGTCTCTCTGAATATATATTTTGGTTTGGTTGTTTGAAACAGGATCTCACTATGCAGTTAAGGCCAACCTTTAATTCACTGTTTAGCCTCAGCAGGCCTTGAATTTGTGACTGTGCTCCTGGATCGGGGACCACCTCACCCAGCAAAATTATATTCTTAAAATATACAAGTAAGGCTGTGGAGATAGCCTGGCAAGCGCAGGGACCCAGGTTTGATCCCTGGTACCACATGCCATGTGGACCCTAGAACCCACCGAAACCAGGTGTGGTAGCGCACACCTGTTATCCTGGAACTAGGAAGACTAAGACTGGAGGATCACTATGGGTCTGAGCTGCATATAAAAATAATTTTAAAATTTACCTTATTTAAATAGCCCCCCATTATGCTACAAGAGTATTTTTACTTGGTTCGTTTGTTTGTTTTTAGTGCTCAGCATTGAACCCAGGGCCTTTACACTGAGAGATATGACCAACCTTTTAAAAAACTTTTTCTTTTAAAAACCATTTTAATTTCCTTTAAAAAATTTTTTCAAGCAGTCTCATTAAGGTGCTCAGTTGCCCAGGCAGGACTAAAATTTGCTATCCTACCTCAGCCTCACAGAGTGCTGAGATTATAGGCATTTGCCACTGTAACTGATTGGATTTTACTTTTGTGTGCTATAGTCTTTTTTTCTTTTTCTTTTTGGTCTTTTTTGAGACAGGGTCTTGCAGTTCAGGCAGGCCTTGAGCTCACTTTGTAACCCAGGCTGATCTGTAACTCAACAATCCTGCCTCAGTCTCTTGAGAGCTGGGATTACAGGCAATCACCACCATGCCCAGCTTTATGGTAGAGAGGTTTTTTGTTTATTTGTTTGTTTTTTTGTGCTGTGTAAATGAGCTTTATTGCAGAAAATACATTTTATTTTACAGTCAAATTAATAAAATGGCGCAGAATTTTTATTTTCTTTAAAGTTTTATTGAATTTTTAGTATCCTCTAAATTAGTCACATTTAAAGACTGATTTACATCTGAAAATGTTCATGAAAATTTAATATATGAAAGCAAGTCTTAAGTGAGTAGGATCTTGAGGTGCTTTTATAACCTAGAATTAGCTCCTGAATGATGGGACATTTCCGGGAAGGCCAGTTCTAGGGCTTTTGAATTGTAGGAATATTTCATGCTGTACAAAATTTTGTCAGATAATTAAGGTCTGTTTTCTCAGCACATTAAAAATAACTTTTTTCTTTCTTGTAGAATGATTGTAGGAAGATGGAGGAGTATGAAGAATTCTGTGAAAAAACTCTTGCCAGAATCCAAGAAGCATCACTATCCACAGAAAGCTTTCTGCCTGCTCAGGTTGAAAGTATCTCATTGATTCGCTTCCATGGAGTGGCTGTGCTTTCGCCATTGGTAAACTTCCTTTAAAAAATGCCTAGGGACTGGGGAGATAGCTCAGTGGCATAAGCACCTGCCTGGCAAAAAGATGCCTAATGTTTATTCATAGTTAGAGAGATACAAATGAGTTACAAGATGGCCCTTAAATGCACTTTTCCTAAGAAAGGCCATTTACAGGGGAAATGAGAGGAATAAAGATATGCCATCAGGCCAGTGATAATAGCTCTGACGTAAGTGCCTGTCTGGCAAGTACAAGGTCTTGAGTTGAATCCCTGGTACAAAAAAAAAGTTCCATGTATATAGGATCCTAATAACTTCAATCAGTGTAAGCAATATATGCCATAACATAAGCTAAGACAGATAATATCAATAAGTATGTAAGTAGTGATAGGGGAACCAGAGGAGGTGGGGGGAGAGGGAGAAAAAGGAAAGGGGATTAGGGGAAAAAACTGTTATATGAATGTATAACCACTCCCCAAGATAATTATAAACCACATAAATTACAAACATGTCCTGTGAGTTCAAGGCCAGCCTGGGCTGCATGGTGAGCTCAAGGCCAGCCTAAACTCCATAGTAAGACCCTCTGAAAATTTTTGTGTTTTATTTTGGTGTGACAAGTGTTAAAAGATCAATATTTTCTATTGGCTTTTTGTAATAAATATTTTGTAATGAAACTTTTAAGCATAAAAATGTTTAAAGAATAATACCACAACCATCCATATCTCTTCCATTTTTAAAAAAATTTTTTTGTATTTAGTGCAGGGTCTACAGGGTCTCACTACACAGATCTGACTTGTAGTGATTCTCTTGTTTTCAGCTTCCCAAGTGCTGGGATTACAGGTGCACACCACCATGCCCAGTCTCTGTTGCTGTCTCAGCGTACTCTAGGGCGGGGCTGGTAGGGCAGGCCGGGGATCAAACCTCCTACCCCTGTATCTGCCTAAGCAGGTGCTTTAATCTGCTGAGTTACCTAGCCAGCCCTTCTTCTATTTAAATTCAGTGATTTTTAAACTTTTTAAAAAATGTTTCCTTCATTGTGTTTGTGATTTTATTTGTGTCTGAACACATATATACATTCAAAAAATTGCCTAATGATTTGAAAATTGAAGGCTTTTACAATATTGAGTTTTTAGAGATTGGACTACTTGTCTTTTAGAATGCCTTACATTTTGGATTTTTCAACTGTTTCCTCATAGTGATTTTTAACCTGTTAACACCTACAAACTGGAAGTTAAGTGTGAAAATTTGCTTAGAGTCAAGTAAATATTTTTACAAGAACTCTGGAGATGATGCCATGTACATTATATGAGTTAATCAGAAGTTAAATCAGAAGTTTATAGGTTTAGTTGTCACTCTACGACATTTGTTTGCCATGATGACTACCATTTGGTCATTTGGTCTTTAAAAAGCATAACTTTTTTTTTTTTTTTTTTTGAGATAGGATCTTGCAATGTAGTCTAGGTTGGCCCTGAACTTTCAGTGTAGCCTATGCTGTTCTTGAGCTCATGGCAATCCTCTTATCTCAGCCTTCCAAATGCTGGGGTTACAGGCATGCGCATCCATGCCTAGCACTATGATGATTCTTGGGTAGCTTGCAAATAAGAGAAAATTTTATTTACTATTCACTTACTTATTTTAAATTTATGTACTTGGTACAGGGTCTCACTATGCAGCTCAGATTCATAGAGATCCTCCTATTTTCAGCCCCCCCATCACTGGGATTATAGGCATGAACCACCACGCCCAGACTAAAAATGTTGTTTATTTATTTTTTATTAGTACATTTTTGTGGCACATGATGAAAACATTCCTTGGGAGAGGGAAAAAAAAAATCTTAAAACAATATTTTTATCAGCTATTTGATTATTATTGTCACCTTATTGTACATTGTCTATGACCCCTTTAGTTACTTATTTATGAACAAAATCTTATTTATGAACAAAAACTTCCTGATTTTATGTTTTTATCATTGAGAAATTATATACTTTTATATCTTGCAGCTTAATGCTGAAAAAAGAAAGGAAATACAACAAGAAAAACAGAAAGCACTTGAGATAGAAGTAAAAAAGCAGGTTAATAGGAAGAAAGCTTTACTGACTCGTGTCCAGGAGATTCTTGAAAATGTCCAGGTAGGTAATTCAAACTTTTTACATTTTAACTAAGAAATCATAATGTAAGTAAGTACTGGTGATACTTTTTCAGAAATGTGTTTGCAAATAACTAATTACTAATATGCTTTACCATTGCTTAAGAAGCTTTATAATTTTGTAATGTTCTGTTTCAGTTACTCCACATAGAATTCAGCTGCTCATCAGTGATGCCTAGTACTTGAGTCAAAGGATACTTAGATAGTGGAACTATGCACTGAACATAATTGCTTATTGTCTCTGTCTCATGACTCTAAAAACATTGAATTCTGACTGACAAAATAAAGAATTGGCCATTGTATTTAACCTCTGAACTAATTAGACAATTGACTAAAGAACGTTCTGGTTTTCTGCTAACGTAAATAACTGTCCCCAATTTTTTGATGAAAATTCTGATCTTAGACACAAAAAATACATTGCAGGTTAAGGACATAGAATTAAGTGGATGTATTCTACATCCAAACTGAAATCATTAAGTAACACATCCACACCTGTTACAGTTAAAGAACCTTGGAGTATTTCTTATTTCTACTTTCATTTCTTTCTAGGTAGTGTAGAGTATGGGTAGTAGGTTATAATTTGCAGATTATAATTACCATCCATAACAAATTTAAAACTATTGCATAACACTAACTTAACAAGAATAGGTGGGTTTTTGACTTACTGTATAATTCTCTGTCTCTCTCTCTCTCTCTCTTTTTTTTGGTGGAACCGGGGATTGAATTTAGGCTCTTGTGCTTGCCAGTCAAGTGCTTATTCTACTGAGCCATCTCCCCAGCAAAGTATAGAAGAATTTTTTTTGGGTGGGGGGGCTAGCCCAGGATGCCTTAAGTGCAGGTCGGGTAAGGCATGAGGTTCTGGGGATTTGAACCACAGCATCCTGAGCCTTACTGCTTTGCTTAAGCAGGCACTTAAACAACTGAGCTAATGGGCAGGCCCCCTCATTATTGTAATAAAAATGGCATATTGTTTTTAGTCCATAGAGGAGGATGTCAAATACTATACTACTAATGAAGTTATTTTTTAGTTCTAAAACTTTCTTATTAAAAGAACATATACAATATTGTGCCATAATGAATGAATTATTCAAGTAGAGAAATTTTATGTAATACAAATAGACTTCCAAGGTCTGTTTCACATGTAAAATCTATGATTTTGTGATAGTTTTTTTACTTACGTAGCTTGTCTAACTTAAGGCTTAGTTGAATGACGTACAAAAAATACATAGCTACCAAATATTACAAATGTAAAAATGTGAATAAAAAAAAGTGTTTTGCATAAAACTATGAACATATTCATGGATTTGGCAAAATACTTCTGTTTTGGTTTATTTTGGCCCTGAGGTGGTGACTAAGTATACCTTATTGTACTGTTTATTGTTTAGTACCTGGAGACTGTTGTGTGTCTTGGGATTTGCAAGGTAAAATGAGAGTGCCATGTGACATAGGAAAAAAAAACAGGCACACACAAAACAACCTCAAAATCCTTTAATATTGAAAATATAGGGGTTTATGATAATTTACAGTGATTTCTTTCAGTTTAATATGTGCTTATATAGTTCTTAGTAATTATTCTAGGTCATTTTTCTTTCGCAGAGTTGAAATATTTAGATACAAAATGTAATTTTATTTCTTACATTAGATGCCTGTGGCACATACCTCTTTTCTTTTTCCAAAATGCATTAATAGGTTGATGTTTTAACTCACCATTAGTTGATCTATTTGAAATTTGTTTCATGAATTTTTTTTTTTTCAGAACCGGGGATTGAACTCAGGCCCTTGCACTTGCCAGGGAAGCACTTATTCCACTGAGCCATCTCCCCGGCCCCATGAATTGTTTTTAAGTTGAAATTTTTCTAATTTTTAAGCAACTTAAACAGATGACCTAGTGTTTACTACAACTTTGCCTCGTTTTACAGAGTTTTAGTGAAACTTTGGGGTAAGCATGAGGTACAAGAATCATATTACTAGGGCTGACCTGATAGCTCAGCAGACTAAAGTGCCTGCTTAGGCCAAGTACAGTGGCCAGGGTTTAATCCCTGGCTGCCATCCCTTCCCCGCCCCCGGGGTGCACTGAGATACCTGTAATCCCAGTGCTTGGGAGGCTGTAAACAGGAGAATCAGTACGAGTCCGATCTACATAGCGAGACCCTGTAGACCCTGTAAACCCTGTAGACCCTACCCTAAATACAGGGGGAAAAAAAGTCATTACTGAATTGTCTTTGGCTTATTCAGTGTCCTAAACAAGTTTTTATTTTTTTTCTTAGAGCAAGAATCGTTTATATAAGACATTTAATTATTTGGCATTTGTCACATGTATCCTCAAATGATAGGTGTCATAGAAGGAATAGTTAGTTGTTAATGTTATAACATATAGCCAGAAGAAAGGTAAGAAAATTGCTTATATCTTGAGATTAAATTGTGCATGGATGTGTGTGTGTGTGTGCATCTGTTTACATTTTATCAAATAATACAACTTTATTTTAATAAATAGGCCAGGTTTTTAATTAATAATTTGATTTCCATGTGATATAGGATACCATAGAAACTATCTTTGTTTCTGTTTGTGTTTTCAAATGTCAGAATTTGGAATCTTTAATTCTGTTTTGTTTTAGAAAACAAAAAATTTGTACAGTGAAGACATATTAATTTTTAATATCTTTTGTAGGTCAGAAAAGCATGTAAAGCCAGTGATTTTGATCAGTGGGAGACCGAAATAGTTTACTCTAATTCAGAAGTCAGAAGCTTGAATGTTCCTGCTACATTTCCAAATAGCTTGCCAAGCCCTACTGAACATTCCACTTTAGTAGAGTCTGAAAACATGATGGGGGCTTTGTCCATAGATAATAAGTACCAACATATACCTAATAGGATAGAGTTAGCTAGAGATATGAAAGAATTTAACTCTCCAAAGCAGTGTGATAATTCAAATAGTTGTCACACTGAAACTGAAACGTCTCCAAAGATCTCAGCAACACCGCAAGGGACTTTGTTTTCTGATGGAATGGTCTCCATGACTGAAGACCAAGATCTACCAGTTTTGGCAGAAGTCACCCCAGACCCCTATATAATGAGTCTTCAGAACCTCATGAAAAAGTCAAAGGAATGTATAGAAAGAGAACAGTCTAGATGCAGTCTAAGAAGCAGTGCAAAAAGGATTGCCAATGAGAGTCACTCAGACAAAGAAAATGATGCTACTAAAGTGAGCGAGTGTATGAAGGAAAACGCCCTGTCGATAGGCAAACCCTGTGGCCCAGTGATTCCTGACAAACCAAGCCTTAATAAATCAAATGTTCTTCTCCAAGGTGCATCCTCTCAAGCAAGCAGCACGAATACATCTGTTTTAGCTAGGTTTTCTAAAGTAGATATTCCTATACAAACTGACCATCCCACTGTTCTGGATTCTGAGGCTGATCTTAAAGTTAGTCCCACTTTTATTACTAAAAATAATGTGATCAAAAGTCTTACAGGTTCATATGCCAAATTACCTAGTCCTGAGCCAAGTATAAGCCCTAAAATGCATCGGAGGCGTTCCAGGCCAGCATCAGTATGTCATATACTTATAAATAACCCAATAAATGCCTGTGAGTTAAGCCCTAAAGGAAAAGAACAAATAGTGGACATAATTCTTCCAAATACTGATGAAAAAACAAGTGCATCTGAAACTGTGCCAAAGTTACCAATTGATTTAACAGGAGTTTGTTCAAGCAAGACTTCTGTCAGCGAAAATGCTACTGAAGTGATAGAAGATATGGCTGTAGGTAAGTCAAGTCAGATGTATCAATCTTTGGGAAATCAGTTAGAAAATAAAGTAACATGTGGACTTGCTGCTGTGGAAAGTCAGTTACTGTCTGATGCTAGAGGAGCACAGGAAATGAATACTTCTTGTATTCCAGGGCCCAAATTACATGAGCTGTGTGCTACTACCAGTCAGTGTATAGCAGGTCAAAACTTGGGAACTGTGAGTGGATTTACGTCAGTCAGTATGTTAGAGAAAAACTCCTGCAGTTTGCAGATGGAACTGAATAAGTCTTATGATGTGAAACATCCATCTCCTTTACTGATGCAAAACCAGAACACCAGACAGCAGATGGATACACCGATGGTGTCCTGTGCAAATGAACAGCTTTTGGATAACAGCTTTGAAAAAGTGAAGCGGAGACTTGATCTAGAGATGGATAGTTTGCAGAAGGAAAACTATTCGTATGTCGTAACCAATGGAATAGCTGAAGAGGAGAGGCAGCATTTGCCAGAGAAAAGATACCCTAAGGGATCTTTCTATATTCACAAGAATAAAATGCTAGAAACCAACACCAGAGGTAAGGAAATTTTGAAATACTTCATAGCTCCCGAGAACGTGGACTTTTCTTTTAATACATCTGTTTGTTTGTTTGTTTGTTTGTTTGTTTGTTTGTTTGAGACAGGGTCTCACTAAGTAGTTCAGGTTGGACTTGAGCTCATTATATAGCCCAGGTTGGCCTGAAACTTGTAGCAATCCTCCTGCTTTGGTCTCCTGAGTGCTGGGATTACAGGCATGTTCCACCACCCCTGGCTTATTTTAATACTTTTAATTGACATTTTTTTTTTTAAAAAAAAAGAGGGCCTTCTCCTGTTCATAAGGGCACTTAATTTCATTTATCTTACTACAAAATATATAATTAGCTATAGTTTATTGCCATGTTTTAGGCTTTTGGAAAGATTTGGGGTTTTTTTGTGTGTTTTGTTTTATTTGTCTTTTTTGAGACAGTGTCTTGTTATGCAGTTCAAACTGGCATTGAGCTTACTTTGTAGCCCAGGCTGATCTCTAACTCAACAATCCTCCTGCCTCAGCCTCTTGAGTGCTGGGATTACAGGTGTGTGCTTCCATGCCAAGTTTAAGAATTTTCTTATAATAACAAAGCTTTCACAGTGCACTTGAAATTGAAGGAAATATTAGTGACTAGAAGAAATAATTCTTCTGTGAAACATCATGGCTTTAATTCAGTGTATGGCTATCATGTCTTCCTTTGGGTATCGTTTGCATGTTTTTGCTGCTGCACCCTTTATCAGATCTTCATATATAGTTGCCCCTTCAGTAAACATTATGACCAAATTACTAGAGTATATATCACAAATCAGGCTTGGGGAGGCTGGGCATGATGGCACACACCTGTAACCCCAGCACTCAGGAGGCTGAGGCAGAAGGATTGCTGTGAGTTCAGGCCAGGCTGGGCTACACACTGAGTTCTAGGCCAAAAGAAAGTGGGGGGAGCTTATAGTGGTGTTCAAAGAATTATTCTTTATCAACATTATTTCATATTTCTTTTTGTATCCAGTTTTATAGTAAGAACCTATCTATGTATTTCTCTTCATTGCTTTTTCTTGTTCTGGTTTGGAATTCATCATTGCTGATGAGGACGTCAATCAAGAAAACCAAGTTTAGGGCAGAATTCTTAAAACTCCCTTCATATTAGCTCAAATAAAAGTGGTTGTTATTTGGGAAGCCAACTTGGATTCTGCAGGGAGACAATTTAGCATGGCTACAAGCTGCCTCTGACTAGCAAGTGAACACAAAAGCAGCATGCAGGATGATGTCTGTTAGGGAGGCCACCAGGTAACTGTTAAGATGGGCAAAGGAAACAGTGTGACATGCTTAGCACTGCCTCCTTACGTATCTCCATTTGTAGAGCTCTTAGGATAGAACCTAACTGACTCCTGTCAGTTGAATGGTTATGTTGAATACTCTTTCCTTTCTTGGAGGTTGTAATTCTGTTACTTTTCTTGATTCTCTTGCCTTGGAAAAGCCATCCATAAATAATGCAAATGCAAATGTTGTAGCACAGTAAAATGTACTTAGGAACGAATTATGGGAAGATTATAGCAGTCAAACAATAGCACATAGTACACTTGAGTAAAAATCACTGTATATTTATGGAGAATGATTCCTTGTGAAGAAATACTTACTATGTATGCGTAATAGTTGGTATTTCAGTGTTTCCATACTGTTTAGTTTGCATAGTTCTGTTTTCTTTTAATTTTTTTAGTTGATAACCAAAATAATCTGGAATTTTAATATAGTCTTTTTTTGGAACCTCTTTGAGCTGAGAAAGCTTCACACTATCAAAGTATCATTTACTTTAGAATCAAAACAAAGCAAAACTTCAAGGTATAAAACCAGAGAGCCTGGAGAAGGACAAAGACCAAAAGAATTAATAGTGGCATGGTGTGTTTGAGGATCACATTTTGAAGTTAATTAGATTCTGGGACTCTTGACCATATAGTCTCAGCTGATCAGGTTGGATCATGATGGGGTTGGGTCCATTGGATGAGTGGAGACAGATGATGAGATGCAAGTCTGTCTTTATTGGCAAACATGAAATAAGAGGAATGTTGGGTGACAGTATGGTTCAAACTGGTGACCTGGCTCTGTCTTGCTTGAATGATGTCAGGTGCAGGAACACCCTCTGGTCAGAAGCATAATTTAAATTGATAGTATTAAATATCAGCCAAGTAGGTAGTAAATTTTCTAAATTGAGGGAACTTTTGTCTTTTCAGAAGGTGAGGAGATACTAACAAGCAAGATGTTAGCTTTTGAAGAAATGCGGAAAAGACTAGAAGAACAGCATGCCCAGCAATTGTCACTACTCATAGCTGAGCAGGAAAGGGAGCAGGAAAGACTGCAAAAGGTGAGGACTTAAAATGTAGAGGGATGGGACTGCTGAGTGAAAGTTGCTCATATATGCCTATGGATTGGGGCCATGTCTAAAATACTTGGAATTCTTCTGTATCTTAATGTGGTCCCACTGGCAAAGGTATGGGGCAAGCAATATTTTCACAGGTGAGGTCTCAAGGTTAAAGAATGCACTTGTGTTAGACATCAGCAACAATAGCAGACAGCGTGGAGCAGAGCAGAGAGCCAAAGCAAGAGCTGCCTGTCTTTATTGTATAAAAATTTTTTTTTCTTTCCGGTACCAGGGATTGAACTCAGGATGTTGAGCATGCCACACAGGTGTTTATGCCATTGAGCTGTATCCCTGGCCTATTTTATAATTTCTATACAAGTTGTTATCTCATATTTACATTCTTACATGGCACCATAACCACTACATGTGTGCTTACCTGTGCTAAATTACTGTTACATAACTATATCTCACCATGTACCTGTGCTGGACAACTGGAGACTCCTCCTCAAGTGTCCTGAGATGTTCCTGAACTTTGAAGAAGTCTGAGTGGTTCCCCACAGTCAATTTAAAAGGATCATTGGCTTTGACACATTGATAGTATTTTTATTGTCAAAATGGGATGTAGGAAAGACTGTGTAATTCATGCTGGTCTTTTTTTTTTTTTTGGTGGAACCAGGGATTGAACTCAGGCCCTTATGCTTGCCAGGGAAGCGCTTATTCCACTGAGCCATCTCCCTGGCCCCTCATGCTTGTCTTTAACTCACTATGTAGCCCAAGCTGACCTTGAATACACAGTTCTCCTACCCCAGCCTCCTAAGTGCTGGGATTACAGATGTACACCACCACACTCCATTCAAAACATATTTTTGAAAGGTTTATTATAGATGCTGAAATATGCAATCTGCAAGAGCAGTAGTATGAAGATACTTGTTTTAAAATTATTATGGTTATTATATCATTTTTGAAATTATTTTTGAGACAAGGTGTCACTATTTGGTTCAGGCTGCCCTTGAACTCACTGTGAAACTCAGATGATCCTCCTTCCTCAGCCTCTCAAGTGCTGTGGTTACAGGCATGTGCCACTATGCCTGGCCTGTTATCATTTAAGTCGTGAAATAAATTGTGATAATTTTGAGAGAGGAAAATTTGAAATAAATAATAACTTGCTGTTGATTCTGGCTATGCTTAAACTTATACTGTTTTTGGATATAACTAAGTAAAAGATCTAGCATGTGATAATGAATTGTTAATCCACAGGAAATAGAAGAACAGGAGAAAATGTTAAAAGAGAAGGAGGTGATTACAGCAGAGGTTTCTGAATTGAACATTAACAGTACAGTAGATATAGAGTGGAGAAAAATAAGTAACTCTGGTTTGTTGGAAACAGTGCTATCTCAAGTGGACTCATTCCGCACTTCAAATTCACATAGTTCTGGTAAATATGGAAAAGTCATTTTCATTTGAAAAAAATGTTATCCTATAATAAGATATTTTATTTAGCATACTTTATAACTTCCTTTTTTTTTTTTTTTTGTATTTAGTACAGGGTCTACAGAGTCTCACTACGTAGATCAGACTTGTAGTGATTCTCTTGTTTTCAGCCTCCCAAGCACTGTTTACAGGCATGTGCCACCACGCCCAATCTCAGTTGCCATCTCAGTGCGCCCTGGGGGCAAGGCCAGCACAGCAGGCCAGGGTTCAAATCTCGGCTGCTGTGCTCTGCAGGCACTTTAGTCTGCTGAGCTATCTGGCTGGCCCTATAACTTTCTTCTTTAATTCCATGCACATTTTAGTCCAATATGCCAGTTGCTTAGTAACCAAGGAAAATGAAACCATATAGTAGATCAAAGGCCGGGGAGCAGGTGCTTCTGAGAACAGACTGCCTCAGCAAGGGGAATGTTGGGACAGCTCAGAGCCCCATCTGTTCATTAATGCAGCAGGTGATACGTTGTAAGTGCAAACATTGTTCATTGTCGCCTCAGTGATCGTCCGTTACCTCTGATTCCCCAGTCCCTGTCACAGCTTATCTTCACAGCATCTTGAGATGCTTTTTGTGTTGAAGAGATCCAGCTGTGTATAAGCCTAATGTCCATAAATGTTGTAATGCTACATGTGGATCAGTTTCAGAGGCCAGTATTCTGAATGAGTATCACATCCATTTATTTGGATATTTTGCATATTCTGATTATATGGCATAAAGCGTAATATTATATGTATATTTCTCTAGGTTTCACAAATTCTGGCCTACAATATAGCTGTGGTTCTGCAAATGAAGTACCTTTCTACCTCTGGGCATCCCCAACTAGTGGCGTGACCAAACTCTCAGTACCCAGGTCTTTTGAAAGGAGCCAACCTAGATGGTCCCAGGTGAGTAAATGTGATCTAAGTTATACATCTAAATATCATTCTATCTTTTTTAAAGAGCTACAGTAAAATATATATATATATAGAGAGAGAGAGGGAGAGCTACTACATTATTTTAGGCTATACAAATGAGCACCAGAGTTTTTGAGCATACATCCCATAGCTTTTGCTACAGATTAGAGTACATAGAGCAGTGTGTACTGAGGAATTCAGTTCATTGTACTAGATTAAAAAAAAACAGTGGAGGGCTGGGAATGTAGTTCACATGGAGGGCTTGTATGTGTGAGGCCATAGGTTCAGTCCACAGAACTAGGAGAACAGAAAAGTATTGGATGTGATGTTCAGATTCTTAAAACAATGTGTCTGTCTCATTTCTTGTAGGTTTTAAATTCAGAAGTGCAAGCAAAATTTAATAAAATAACTGCCATGGCAAAGGGATTTCTTACTCGTAGGCTTATGCAGACAGATAAGCTGAAGCATCTTCGACAAACTGTAAAAGTAAGATCTTTTTTTCTTTTATTTTTTTCCATAATTTTATTGAGAAACAAATAGCAATAAAACAATTTCAAATCAAATTAGTAGGACAGTTTCAATAATTAATGCATTGCATATTGTTTTCTTAGTGGTTAGTAAGATCATTGTAAACCTTTCCCTTTTTTTCTTTGGCGGAACTGGAGATTGAACTCAGGCCCTTGTGCTTGTCAGGGAAGTGCTTACTCTACTGAGCCATCTCCCCGGCCCCAATCTTTCCTATTTCAACCTTTCCCTTTGTATTTCACTTTTGTCTTAGTTTCTGTCAGTCTTGTGACAGCTGAGCTGACATTAATTCACAACTTATATGAAAAGTATTTTTAGTCATTGTAATATAAGTATTATTTTGTGATTGTTACTCTTTTTTGGGGGGGGGCAGACTATCTTAAAAAAAAACAACAACAAATCTCATTAATGGTTTTGGTCAAGAAGGAGAGCACAGTAATAAAGAAAATATAGGGCTGGCTAGATAGATCAGCGGATTAAAGCACCAGCTTAAGCAGACACAAGGACCAGGGTTCAATCCGCAGCATGCCGTGCTGGCCCTGCCTCTGGGGTGCGCTGAGACAGCAAATGAGACTGGGTGTGGTGGCATGTGCCTATAATCTCAGTGCTTGGGAGGCTGAAAACAGGATTACTACGAGTCTGATCTGTGTAGTGAGATTCTGTAGACCCTGTACTAAATACATTAAAAAGGAAAAAAATGTATATATATGACTTGTTTGTTAAGCTCCTACAAAGACAGAAAAATTATCACTTAAAATACTTTGAGGACTTCTTCCCAGTTTTACTTCTTGTTACAGAAAACTGATGTGAGGGGTAGAAGTGAACTCTTTTTTATTTTTCATTTATGTATTTGGTACAGGGTCTCAGTGTGCAACTTGGACTCATAGTGATCCTCCTGTTTTCAGCCTCCCCAGCCCTGGGATTACAGGCCTGTAGGATCACACCCGGACTCTGTTGGGGGTTAGTGTGCCTCGGGGGCAGGGCTGGCACCATGGACTGGGGATCAAACCCTGGTCCCTGTGCTTGCCAAAGCAGGTGCTTTAATCTCCTGAGCTATCTCACTGGCCCTGGGATCTACTCTTAATGGAAGGGTCTGTGGCTGGAATCTTTTCAAAGACACTATAGAGAAACCTAAATTAATCTTGGCCTCACACTAGGAAAAGATTTTGCCCCTGTGGAGGATGGGCACAGGCGATAATTTCCTTTGATCCTTGTCTTTCCTTTCAGCATCAAGGGCATTTTTAGGACCAGACTTTGTTTGTTTGTTTGTTTGTTTTTGTGGTATCAGGGATTGCACTCCCAGACTTGCACTTGCCAGGCAGGCACTTATGCTGCTGAGCTCTCTCCCTGGCCTTAAGGGCCAGGCATTTCTCAGCTTTAGCTTCTCTCTTTTCCCCACTTCCCTGCACTGCCAAGCTCCTGCACTTTTCCTTTCACTTACAGAGGATGCGTGTATTGGAAGCTTGGCTTAGAGCCCTGCCTCTTGGGAATCTAGCCACAGAGAAGTTTGGGGTGTATGATGAACTATCAGACAACTTGCTGTCTCAATATAGTTTGTCTCAAAAAAAAGTACTGATTTAACTGAATTTTGGAGAAGGAAAAAGACTTTCATCTACTCCACTGCACAATAGAAGAGGCAAGTTCTTTCCCATTGGTACAAGCAAAATCTTAAGCATACATAATTTTCAGCGATCAACATCTGCATCCCCGAACTGTCCCCCTCCTTGCCATCTTCATAATCTCTTTTTGAATCTTCTGTCCAGGTCCTAGCCGTGTTACACAGGCTGCTTCCAGATTGAGAACATTCTTTCTGATCCCCAGTGTGGCTTGTCCTGCTGTTAAATGGGCCAATCCTTCATCACAGATATAAATGTGGGGCTCTCCCCCGTCCCTGTCCGTGTGCTTCCACCTTGCGCTCTTCTCCACCATAACCACCTGAGTCTCCATCCTCAGATCTGGGTGCAAGGCCTGGTGTTCACACATTGCAGTGGACATCTCTGCAATACTCATTTAACACTAGGCACAAATCTAAATTCAGTAATAGGTTCGACATCATCATCCCTGTCTTCCTCAGCAACAAGAGATATTTTTTTTTTCTTCTCCAAATTTAACATTTAACATAACATCCAGTTTTTGTCACAGATAGGTGTTTCAGTCCTTGGATACTGCATGTAAACTAATGATAGGTTATTGCAACGAGAATCCTGTTCTAAGACCATCTAACCAAGACAGGCAGCCCTCAGTGATGGAAAGAGTGTGGATGCAGAGGCCACTGCCTTTGTGGTATGATGCTGGCATCTAGCTGCAGCCTCATAGCTCTCAGCTAGCCTGAGAGAGCTCACTGAAGCAGGGAGCACAGAATCTCAGCTGAGGTGGGAGCTGGGACATAGAGATCCCAGCAAGTGCAGACTGCCACCCACCTAATTTTTAAAATAATGTATTAAATGGAGTAGTTTTATGTATTTTCTCTTACTTGAATATGGATGCAGTTTGACATATAATCATTGATAATTTTATTTATGTTCTTACTCACTTTGGCCTGATTGAGAAAAAAAACAAAAGGAGATAGTGGCTTTTTTTTTTTTTTTTTTTTGAGACAAAGTTTTGCTATGCAGTTCAGGCTGGCCTTGAACTTGCAGTGATCTTCCTGCCTCAGCCTCCCAAGTACTGGGATTACAGGCCTGTGCAACCAGGCCCACCAAAACTCAGTGATCTTAAATCTGTATAGAAAAATGTTTTTGAAGAAGCATTTCTTTTTCCAGGATACTATGGAATTCATAAGAAGCTTTCAGTCAGAAGCTCCATTAAAGAGAGGCATTGTCTCAGCACAAGATGCATCACTTCAGGAGAGAGTGTTGGCACAGGTAAATGCACCTGTCCTGACAGCTGATTTGTCCCATGAACAATCAGAGCCCCAGGCATGGATATGTTGTGTTTCTCTATTCATTTACTCACTAAAAAATAGGTGTCAGTGGGCTGGTGAAGTGGCTCAGTGGTCTAAAGCACCTACTTAGAACAAGCTTAGCAAAGCACAGGGACCACGGTTCAATCCCCCAGCACCACATGCCAGCCAGCTGCGCCCCCTGGTGGGCTGAGCTGCCTCCCCCCACATAAATAAATAAAAATTAAAAAAAAAAAATAGGTGTCAGTGACAGCTACGTCAGCCTTTTTCTTTTCTTTCTTTTTTTTCGGTACTGGGGATTGAATCTTTGTGCTGGCCAGACAGACATTTATTCTACTGAGCTATCTCTGTGGCCCAGCCTTTTTCGCTAAATAAAAAAAAGTATATATAGTGTATGTTGTATTACTGAACTCTAACTTCATCTTTTAAATGTGAACACTATTTTCTTTTCTTGTAAATAGTTGCGAGCTGCCTTGTATGGTATTCATGACATATTCTTTGTAATGGATGCAGCAGAAAGAATGTCTATTCTGCAACATGATCGAGAAGTTCGCAAAGAGAAAATGCTCAGGCAAATGGTATGTGATGTGATTTTTCTAATGAATGCAGTTTTTCTGGCTTTAGGATAATTGAAGTGGAATGTCATTTCTTGTTGACTAATTAGCATCCTTCTGATAATTCTTGATTACAGGTAATTTCTAGGATCACTAGCAGCATTTATGTCTGTAGACAGGTATAAAAGAAGCACACAATGAAAGAACTGTATATTTAAGTTGGAGTTTGGAGCTGAAGCCACAAATGTTTTGCTTGGGCAGCTTTCAAAATACCATTAGCTGCTTCTGACCTAGTTGGCTTAAAACTGTCTTAGAGAGTTTGCTTTTTGTCTGTTTTGTTTTGCATTGTTTTTGAGATGGTTTCATTATGTAGCCCAGGCTGGCCTCAGACTTATAGCAATTCTTCTGCCTCAGCCACCAGGCTGCTGGAATTACAGGTGTGTGCCACCAGGCCCAGCAGGATTTTGCTGTTTTTTAAATCAAATTTTGAACATAGGTTTCAAGTTAATTTGATATCCATAAATCAGACTGTTGTCAGCTTTTGGTTTGAACTGATGCTGGGTGTGATTGACATAAGAAAAACAAGCAGAATTTATGTTATCCCATTGAAAAAACTCATTAATTTTTAAAATTAGACTGTTTCAATTATAAAGAAAAGCTAAGTTAAGAATGTTGATAAAGAAGCTTTTCCATGCAATTTGTGATCATCCTATATTATGACACAGTGTTACTATTGGTACTAGTAGAGTCACATTTCTTTTATACTTTAAAGGATAAAATGAAAAGTCCACGTGTGGCTCTTTCAGCTGCAACACAGAAGTCTCTCGATAGGAAGAAGTACATGAAGTAAGTTCTTTTGGGATTGTGTCACATTCTTCTCATTCCATTAACTTTAGTCGTCTGTTGGTCTGTTTATGTCTTTAAGCTTTTTAAGCATATGTGCTGCTTGTTTATGTATTTATGCATACATTTAAATTAGAAATAAAGAACAATTCACTTCTTCAGTTGAACTAATAGAAATCTCTTTTTACATACAATCTTTAAAATCAGTTGTCAGGGCAGGGGAGATAGCTCAGTAGACTAAGCGCTTGCCTGGCAAGCACAAGGTCCTGAGTTCAATCCCCGGTACTGAAAAAAAAAAAAAAAAAAAATCAGTTGTCAGAATCTGATTTCATCTTTTGGTAAATTCTTGACTTATTCACGACTTAGTTTGTCAACATTCAGCTTATATAATTGATAGTCAGATCTTAAAAGACTAATCCATATGTTCATTGTTTGCTGTTATGTCATTTAAATACATTCTTCTGGATATCCAAAAGATTTCCTGGGAATAGAGATGTGATGGGAATTTTTTTTTAATAACTTTTATTTTTTTAAGTAACTTTTTACAATTCTTCTTTGTTGAAATTACTCTTAGCCAGGCATGGTGGCACATGCCTATAATCCTAGCACTTCAGAGGCTTTGAGATCCAGGCCAGCCTGAGCTGCAGAATGAGGTTAAGGCCAGCCTGAACTGCATAGGGAAACCTTATCTCAAAAACGAATCCTCCAAAAACTAGTTTTGACATTACGTAGTACAGTTTATAAGTGGTTTTTTTCTGTCATCTATATTACATCTGAAGTATTTCCCCCCCCCTTTTTTTAACTGTATATTGTTCATGTTCTTATTTTTATACTTTATTAGAGCTGCTGAAATGGGAATGCCAAATAAGAAATTTCTGGTTAAACAAAGTCCTTCTGAAATAAGGTGAGAAAAACATTCTATCTCTGAGAGGCTTGCAAAAGATTTTATAAATGCAAGCCCTTCCTCCTTGTTAACATTGTTCTACCCTGTAATCAGTGAGACTCTGCTCACTGAGCTTCAGAGTCGTAGGCTCAGGATTCGTACTAACACCACATGTCAAGGCAACTGTTCTGAAGCTTTTTGTAGGGCAGTCTCTGGCAGAAATTTGAGCTAGACATGTCTTGATTGCAGTTCACAGTCAAGAGGATCTCTGGTATTTCTTTAAAATCTTTTGAAAGCTAACTATTTTTGACATGTTTCCTACTCTTAATCAGTGATACTTTCTCTCATGTGTTTGAAAAGTTGGCTTTTGTAAGGTCTATAAGTAAATGATGTAAAAACTCAAAAGTTAATGCGATCTCTTTCCTGGTAAAAACCTAAGGAATTGGGCTGTTTGGGAGCAAAACGTAAGCAGCGCTGCGACACTGTTGTCAGTCTGCTTGGCTCTATGGTAACACATGTCGTACCGCTGCCTCAGTAGCTTCCAACCTCGCCTTCTACCTTTCATCCACTGAAAGAATAAGAAAAGCAGAATTTATTCTTTCGAATTAACTTTTTTATTTGTCAACAGAGTCCTTCAGCCAAACCAAGGACAGAATACACCTGTGCATAGGCTACTAAGTAGACAAGGGTAAGATTGCCACACACTGGGTATTTAAAAATATTTGAGATTAGCTCTGAGAAAGAAATAGAATTGTAATGTTCTTAATATAAAAGATAACTTTTCAAATGTGATAAAGTTCATATATAACTGTCTTAAATTTTTGTCTTCAAAGATAACCATCTTGGTGCGCTGTTATATATTATAGTTATCATCTTGTGTTGGCATGTTTTTACTTTTCATTTCATACCATGTTATCCATTAACCATTTTTAAATATCATATAGTAAGTTTAGTATCACCAAAGTGATTCTCCAACGAAGTATGAGCCATGGATACCCTCTGTTACTATGTGTAGTTTTTCTTACTTTGTGCATGCATGTTTAAAGTCTTTTCAAGCTTCCTTATGCTTTTGTTTTTGCTGAATTTTGAACATTTAGATTTTTAAGTGACTTATTAATATTTTTATATTCAATTAGAACCCCTAAGACATCAGTGAAGGGGGTTGTCCAGAATAGACAGAAGTCTTCCCAGAGCAGAGTGCCTAACAGAGCGCCTGTCTCAGGTGTGTAGAAAATAAACTCCTGAAGCCCATTCACTAGAACGGTGTGCACAGCTGCTTCTAACTCGGGCTCTGTGACTGGAACGTGTTGTCTTTCCTTGCCACCATAATTTTGGCATATTCCTGGACATTTCCAACAATGATCCTTTTTGTTACCATTTTATAGCAATTAGAAAAATCTTCGTAAGACTGGCTACAGTCTTGATTTCTATAATAACTCTATGAAAAACATTGTATTTTTTTATGCTGAAAAATTTATAGAATTATTCAGGCTTAATTCAGAAAGCCTTTTTATAAATGAGTAAAGGTTAATGATCATCTGATTCCTAAATCTGTGCAGGTCTGTTCAACCTGAGGGCAGTGAATCATCCAGAAATATATGTCTGCACAAAGGGGATTAACGATTTCTCCTCTGTCCACAAGCTCACAAGTGAATATTTGAGGTGGGAGGGCATAAGAAGAATCATGAGCTCTGTCTCTTCTCATTTTCATCACTTGATTATTACTGAAGGGTGAAACTGGCATTTTGAAATTATTTATGATGGCAAGAAGACAAATTCAGTGTTGAGCTAATATTAGCTTCTAACCAAATGATTTAATATTTCTTAGATCTCTTTAAGACACTTAAAATTCACTGAAAACTATATGATCTGATGATAAATATAGATTTTAACTGTTCTGCTTTCTAAACATTGCAAAGAAAGGTAAATTAATTACCAGACAATAAAGATTAAGCTGTTAATTTCTTACAGTCTTCCCAATAGCAAACAGGCAAATTTTTTAGCTTTTATTACTAAATGATTTCCTCCTGGTTAAGAGGGAGCAAGTGATATGAGTATTTTTTTCATGTTATCATATTTGTTCACGAGATGAAATCCTTTTGTTCAGAGAAGGAACAAGGAATTAATCACTTTTTTTTTTTTTTAAACTTTGAGACAGGATCTTATTATGTAGTTCAGGCTGGCCTTGAGCTTATTTTGTAGGTCAGGCCAGTCTCAAACTTACAATGATCCTCCTGCCTCAGGCTACTGAGTGTTGGGATTACAGGCACCGCTATGCCTGGCTTATAGCTTTGAAATAATTGCTGAGCTCTTACATATATATTGTGAATATATTCATGATGTCTCACGCAGACACACACACATAGAGTTGGGGGAGATAAGTCAAAGGTTCTCTTTTGAAATCTATTTTGAGAGACAGGGGACTTGTTTTAAAGGCAATCACATGGTTGCAGATCCTGCATATACCAGAGGCTACTAGAATCATGTAGTAAGAGAGAAAACCAGTAGGGGAACTCAGACCAGATAACAGTTGCTTGTAAAGCTATATGAAGTTTTAAGACACTGAGTTTTTTCCATATTAGTATTTTATATATTATGATAAATCTTTTTTTTAATTAATTTTATTGAGAAATAAATAACAAGACAGTTTTGTTTCAAAACTGGTTAGTAGGGCAGTTACAATAATTAATATGTTGCATATTGTTGTCTTCATAGTAGTTATTCATAGTACAAGATGCCAATATGATACCCTGTCTAAACACTATTAGTACAAATCTTTCTTCTCATTAAATGAAGAGAAAGTAGCTGTATATCTATCCCAACTATTTTGCATATACAGATGCAAAATTGTCCTTCATTTATATCCTCTTTTTTTGTTTAGTTTTGTGAGAGGAATACCCTATTATGATAAATCTTAACTGGTTGGAAAATCATTGCAGAGTTAGTATTGTTTTTCTTAGTATTATCAATTTTCTACAGTAACTGATCCATCATGTTTATTCTCATGCATTTCATCTTCACTGTTTGTCACCTGTGAACTTAAAGCAAAGTTCCAATTCATACTTCGATTGAGTACTATGAACAGTATAAAGAATGGGCAAGATGTTACACATTTTCTGCAAGATATAATTGTTATAGGGTAAGAATACACAATGAAGTTCAGGTTTAGAACTACTGAGGTTTACCTATACTGCAACATAATTATTAACACGAATGAAATTAACCATTGAATAAACATGTACAACTAATATATGTCTAAACAAGCACAGAAATTCTTTTAAGTAAAGATTTATTAATATACAAGTGCTTATTTAGTCAGTTGAATAAGACTGAAGAATTTGGGTGTTTGGTATACTATTTAAAAGCTTACTGTGAATCTTAGAACAACAATGTATAGTTGCTTCTTGACAAATAATTATTTTTCCTGCTCATATTTTTAATGTTTATGTTTTGCATAAATTAGGACTTCTACGTGGATTTGGTCTACATGGGGATTAAACCCTTTAGTAAACAATCATTTTTGTTAGGATAGAGTGTCATTCTTAGTCGAAAGCAAAATTCTAAAGTGCCTATGCTAGAAAGCATCTACAATTATTTACAGGTTTTATAAACTATATGTCTCTGGTGTTATGTTTTGAAATCTATTTCCTGATGTGATGTTTATGCTTGACTAGTTTATCATGAAATAGAGAAACCATCAATTCAGAGTACAGTAGCAGGTGACTATACAAGGAAAAGTTAAGTAAAATAGCAAATCTGGTAGAATTGGGTTCTCAAGAGTTCTGCTTTGGGGCTGGAGAGATGGCTCAGTGGTCTAAAGCACCTACTTGAAACAAGCTTGGCAAAAGCACAGGGACCGCGGTTCGATCCCCCAGCACCACATGCCAGCCAGCCCCGCCCCCTGGTGGGCTGAGCTGGCCACACACACACACAATAAATAAATGTAATAAATAAAAATAAATAAATAATTAAATAATTTACAATAATTAAAAAAAAAAAAAAGTTCTGCTTGTAGCTTGGCTGGCTTAGGTAAGGCCTCTATAGGCCTCAGTTTCAGTTATCCTTAACATGGTGGTAACCATTTCTCTCTGTAAGAAGAGAGATTCAGGATAAAGTAGGATAATGTCCAGAGCTGACCCAATGCCTAGCAAATAGTAAGCATTCATTAAATGGCATCCTAAAAAACCTGACGTTGAGAACTAGTACATTGAGAACTAACACTAGTTTTGTTCTATTTTTAGGAGTGTATACCGAAAAAATCCAAAGAAAGTGGCCAAGTGTTGCGACAATTTGAGAAGACAACATTCATTAGGATAAGGAGGAGGACTATTATCCATATCCCTGCCTAATAGACTTATTTATGTAACTCTGGACTGTTTACCCAGGCAAGGTGACCAAATCAAAGGGCTGACCAATTATCTGCATAATTTGGTCAGTCTTGTCAGTTCCTGCCTCTCTCTTATTTTCCTCTTTAGATTTGGAAGAAACCAACCTAGTGCTCATGTCTCTGTTTAACCTATGCAAACATAGTTTACATGCCCAGGTGTCTGTGGGACCCTTTGTGGATACTTAAAAAAGACATCTGGCTTTAGTTTTACAGGACATTGGAAAGATAGGATAAATTATAAATTAAGTTCTATAACATGAATTTCATTCATCTCTGCATATTAATGGATGAATTTAAGAAAGACAAATTAGATATGGTCCTGTTCAAAGCAGATATGTTTCCCCGGTTTTGTAAATTTGAGCACTAGACTGACTTAACACAATAGCCACACATGATACACTCTTGGATTGTGGTCCACATAAAATCTAGGCAAAAGCAGCCCTTTGGTTATTCTTGCTCAGAAGCACACATTCCTGTCAACAGCACTGTCTTGAGAATTGTCAGGAAAAAAATGTCAGGTTTCATATATGTTAACTGAGTACTGTTAGAAACAGGTGTGCTGGTTTACACAGTCTGGAGGGTAAGAAATCTGGAGAAAACAACACAATCTTCCTGTATGTAGATTTGTTACATCCATTTCTATAAAGTAGGAATAATGTGTTGCATGCAGCTCTATTTTCTTTTGTATGTTTTTTCTTTGCAATCTACTTTTCAAGCATGCTTGATTTAGGAGAACATAAAGGGCTATTTACAATACTATATCCATGTTTCAAATAGGATAGTAATATTGCCTAGTTAGAAATACTGCATTACTTAAAAGGCACAGATATTTAAGGGTATTTTTATCAGCAACATAATCAGTAAAAGTCTTCAAATAATAAATGATAACCAAGAATGCGATTTTATGAGGGAATGCCACTGATAATTTGTCATACAATTTCTAAAAAGGGCTCTATGCTTCTCACATAATATTGGGACTATGTATATTGAATCTTTGTAAAGCATTTGAGAGATACTGGTATTTTTTAAAGTGTTCTATATATTATTCTTGATACCCTTTTGAGAATATGGAGATAAAGATTTGTTTCTCCAAATTTTTAAATTGCCTTGAACATTGAATGTTTACACCTAGCTGTACAAGGAAAATAACCTACTCTGCATACAAATTGACTTTTTATTGAAATGTATCACTTATTGAATGAATCACAAAACTAAGATTCCAAAAAGTCTTAAATTACTGTGTAAAATTGCCCTTTTCATGATGAACTGTGCTTTATCATTCTGAAAACTCAGGCTATAGCTTCTTCATATCATTGTTAATCTCCCACTAAGGATAAATGCTAAAAGTTTTGTGTCTACAAGTGTAAATTAGATAAAACAAATACTATGTTTTGGAAAAAGGTAAAACTAGTTTGTAGATTAAGAATGAGAAATTGGGGACTGGGGAGAGATGGCTCAGTAGAATAAGTGCTTCCCTGGCAAGCACAAGGGCCTGAGTTCAATCCCTGGTTCTGCCAAAAAAAAAAAAAAGAATGAGAAATTGGAGTGTTTAAAGGTAAAAGCGTGTGTTTTACAGATTTTTTTTTTTTTTAATGTGCATAGGTTTTTCTCATAAAAATGCCAGACACTTTGGGTTTTGGTGGTTTATTTATATACATTAGTTTTATTTTTACTTTGCGTGGAATGTCCACAAATTTAAATTGTATTTATTTTTGTACTTTAATTTTCACAGGTTTTGCTTCTAGACAAATGGCAAAATAAACTTTTTTTGAAGTCCCACCAAAGGTATATTCCATTTTCTCATTTGGAACCTTTTAACAGAGCTGAGTGTGACATTTGGGTTTGCATGACTCACACTGTTGAAAAGATGGAAATGTCTTTGTCTATGAGGAGCTGCATACTGAAAAAAGGCGGTGGGAGGCCTAGGGAGAGGGCAGTGCTCTAAGGCTCAAGCTCACAGCAAAGCAGGCAATTCACACAGCTTCACTAACACTGAGCTTGTAACTCCCACACCTCTCCTGTGGTGTGAGAGCAGGAAAAGCCTCCTCCATGCCACAGCCTCTTGCTGAGGTCTCATCCGGTCATCTGAAGAGCTGTGGGGGTAGAGCCTCTCTCTCCCCTTCTGCTGCCCCTTTAACATAGATGTTCTTCCTATGATGGAAACAGTGGAAATAACCAGAAGGTACTGCTCCTGAGCTCAAGATGGAAGACCTCATTCTTTTCTCATTGACATGAAGGCCACCATATGTGTGAATGAAACATGAGTTATAACAACTACATGAGCAAATAGGTTTGAAATTCTTCAGAAGTAACAGACCATAATGGCATATGTGTAGGTTTGAAAAAAATTGTAAAATCTCATAGCTGGACACAGTGGCACAGGCCATTTGTTATCCCAGTACTCTAGGGAGGCTGAGGCATGAGGAAGGCAAGACCCTGGGTTCAATGCACAGTTCAGCAAAGAAGCAGAACCCCAGTGACCTTGGGTCTGATGCAGCAAAATCACATCCTTGTTCACAATCTAACAGCTGCTCGAAGGCAAAGGTCATGTCTAACTGTTTGTGTATGTGAAATCTAAATTGAAATTAAAAATTTGATATTGCCTTCGCACCTATCTGGCCCCCTCACCTCATTGGTTAGTGTTTCTCAGTGGCCCCCACCACTGACATGAAGTGGTGGGGGCCACTGAGCTCCAATTTCTTGGCGACTGATCGCACTGCCACCAGAATCGTGGGTTTGCTTCCAATTCACCTACCTTTCCCAGCCTGTTTGTGGACTGACTGCTTGCATTATTGCGTGTGTAGTACACAAGATAGCATTTGAAAGAACATAGCCAAAGGCAAGAGCACCCCTGTTGCCCCTTGCATCCCACTGCCTGACCTTTTCAATGGCCTCCCTCCCCCTTCACCATCCACGGTTTATTACAACCCCAGTGTCACAGGTGGAGAAAACAAGTCAGAGTGCAAAACCACACTCCTAGCTGCAGGTATATTCTATTACATGTCCCAAACCCTAATAATTGAGTTTGAAAGTGAAGTGGGAAAAGTGAGGTCTGAGCTAGTGCTTCGTGATTCCTTAGCCATGGTCGGGGTTAAGAGTTCAAAAATGATCTCAGGAAAAAAAAAAAAAAAAAAAAAAAGATCTCAGGCATTTCCTACCCCCAGAATTTCCATTTCTGTTCCAATTATGCAAAATCAATCTACAGTAGACATTCTAGCAGCTTGCAGGAAGAGACACAGCAAGGGAGCCTATAATGCTCTCACCCCACAGGCACTGAGCATTTGGTAAACTCAGCTTTCAGGGAAAATATGGGCTGGGCACAGGCACTTCACAAGTGTCATTAGTCTCAAACTCTAGGAGTCCCTAACCCAATGACTGCATAAGGCTTTAGGGGGACAACCAGACACAAATCATAAACAGATAAAGGAAAACACAGAACACAGAAATATCTTTAGAAAATCAAAGTGCACTGAAATATATTCTTGACCAAATTGAAGTACATGAATGTTATTATGATTTTTAGAAATTTATAATTATAAATAGGCTAATCAGATTTTGCTATTTGTACCTAGCCCTTATCAGGGCTAGGGATACAGCTTAGTGTCATAAGCACCTCCCTGCTAAGCACAAGGTCCTGCGTTTGATCCTTTTTCTCCTAAGCAGAGGAGAAAACCTGTCTCAAAACTATAGGGTATTTATAATAACAGCCCTCACAAGATTGATTTTAATTTTAGCCTCTCCACCCAGCAATCAGTTAACAAACTTCAACAGCTTATCTCCATGATTCAAGGAGCTCCTAGGGTGGTAGGGCTGGGTTTTTGGTTTTTTGTTTATGCCTGATTGATTACCAGTTTCATCCGCTCCCAACAGTACATGACCAATAGAGTGTGGAACATAATCTGACCGTAGGACAACTTGGAGAGTAGCAAGTATATGGAAAAGATCTTCTTGACCAGTGTTTATACTGGCACTTTCAATGGGGCACATCCTACCACATGCATATGCATTGTCAGAAAAGAGGGTAGTTGGAGTCAATAAATGATCTTGCCAGGTCAAAATGACTGTCATTCAGTCTTTTGTGCAGAAGAGAAGCCTGTATTCTATACTCTGGAAGAGAAGACCCTTACATATCCTTTCCTACATAAAGATGACCCATCCGTGAAAACGGAGATTCCTCCTGCTATGGGAACTGAGCTTATTTTCAAAGGGAAGAAAAAGGGTGTGAAGGAAGCAAACTGAATTGGTGCATCTCAAATATAATGACATAACACCAGGGAAGGTAGCAAATGCAGATTTCCAAGAGGATGAAAATTGTGAGAAGCACCTTTTTTTCATTTTTGATTATTTTATTACAAAATAAAATACTTCTTGTGCTTATATCAACACTAATAGGCACTGACATTGTATGTTAATTAATGGTTTAAAATGAATTTCAAGTAAGTGTTCAATAATTATATATTGGAGGGATTTTGAGACAGTAGAATAACTCAATTTTTTTTTGTCTTTTTTTTCAAAGTTTTATTGATAAACAGATAGTAGTGAGACAGTTTCTAATCAAATCGGTAGGACAGTTTCAACAAATAATACACTGCATATATTCTTCTTAGTGGTTAATTGCTGTACAAGATGCGGACTTGTGATCCTATTTACAAACA